CCCCCGGCAAAAGTTGGAAAACGGTGTTGCCCCCCAAAAAAGAAAAAACCCCCCCACCCCCCCCCCCACCACAAAAAGGATCTCCCCCCCCCGCCACTACACCACACTCTCTCCGATCCTCCCCCACCAGTCAACTGGTCCCATCATCTCTCATCCTGCAAAGAAGACATGCATCTACTCTTCTCTGTTTTGGCACCTATGTGTTGAATGAACTTCCCTTAGATGTCCAAACAGCTGAGTCATTGGGTGCCTTCAAATGACGACTAAAAACCTACCTCTTTCAAAAGTACTTGGATTACAGGATTATACTCATTAAAAAATGTATTACTTGCCAGCAGAGCTTCTTAGAGTGATAGTATTCTTAACCAGGTTCTTTTGAACCAGTATCAGAATGTAGTCACTGTAGTGCTTCTAAGCACTTCTGTAAGTCGCTCTGGCTAAGGGTGTCTGCCAAATGTTGTAAATGTATGTACAATAGGGGTTCTTTTGATGTTCGGGGGCTGGTTTGTGTCATTCATATATATTACAGACTGCTAATATGGCTGCGGGGGTTGGAGGTGCCACCAGATCAACATGTCAAGGGCATACCTGCAATTCCACTGAACTGCAGTACTAGTTGCTAGTCTACCACCCCAGCCTGTTGACTTGGTGAAACTCAAAACAACAGCAAATGGCTCTGAAATGTATACAGTCAGCTGTTTTTGTCATTGTCCTCATTAGCGGGAGACAATGAACTATAGGTTCGCCTAATTAAAGTACTTTTAAAAATGTATTAAGGTATTGTAATGTATTGCACAATTACGTGCATAATTAGATATTTTACTGCAAATTAAATGAGCGTATCATACCTATCCATGGAATAAGGAATTTGTATACCATGTCGTCTTTCGGCTCTGGGGATAGAAAGAAATGACACTTTAATAAATATCTTCTTGTCGAAATGGAAGCGTGTTGTACTTTATATGAATAGAAGCCACACCTGTGGATGCCAGGATGGTCTTCACGTATTCCGGGTGGTGGATATTCAGAAAGGCTAGGAAAGGCCCGAACCACAAGGGAAAAGCCAGAGGATACTTCTCTCCCCATTTTATATTCTTGAATAAATCTGTCCCGTCCTGGGGAAACTGCCCGATGAGACACAGCAGTAGAATAATTCCGGTAAGTTAAGTTGATCTTGCATTACTATTTTACAATTCAAAATACAATAAGGTAATAAAACGCTATACAGGGCCTACAAAAACAGCATTATAATTAAAGTGATCTGTATCAAAGATGCACCAAATCGTCACACTGAATATAAGTATATAAACATTTTCATCGGAATTACATAACACGAATGATTTATAGTGAGTCCAACTGCGATCACATTGCCTATGAATGTATCATTTATGGTTGACAATCATGCAACACGACAACAAACCCATTAACTCTGTCGCATCAGGTACGGATGATGTTTTTGAGATCACCTTTCCTCTGCCAACATACACTTAATATGGTTCGATAAACCATGAGAATAAAATATGATAGATAATCTGCTCTCCTATGCGTGGCGCAGATTGAGTATGCAACGGGTTACCGGAGCGTAATATGATATATGTACCTC